CTCACCAGGATCGCAGAGCTACCGTCGGGTGCAGGGCCAGTGTACCAAGGCTAGAAATCATCACACAAACCATATCACTACCCGATACTAGTGATCCGAATATACCAACACTGATTACGTATTACGAAACAACACAACACATATCGCTGCTATACGCTCCACAACATAAAGAAAATATCCCACCATAACGTAACACGTAACACAATCTATGTATCCCACCATAACGTAACACGTAACACAACCTATGTATCCCACCATAACGTAACACGTAACACAGTCTATGCGGTCACTAAAGTAGTATTCTAAACCTAACGTTCTACATCTGTTCTACATCTACGCCTCCTTCCTGTCTTAAGTCTCTAAACCTAACGTTCTACATCTGTTCTACATCTACACCTCCTTCCTGTCTTAAGTCTCTAAACCTAACGTTCTACATCTGTTCTACATCTACACCTCCTTCCTGTCTTAAGTCTCTAAACCTAACGTTCTACATCTGTTCTACATCTACACCTCCTTCCTGTCTTAAGTCTCTAAACCTAACGTTCTACATATGTTCTACATCTACACCTCCTTCCTGTCTTAAGTCTCTAAACCTAACGTTCTACATCTGTTCTACATCTACACCTCCTTCCTGTCTTAAGTCTCTAAACCTAACGTTCTACATCTACATCTGTTCTACATCTAAACCTCCTTCCTGTCTTAAGTCTCTAAGTCCAATGCCGGTAACCTCCCACCTCGTGATTTTTGTCAGGGTCATCTCGCTCAGTTTTGAGTCATGCAACAAACATGACATGAAACCGCCACAAAGAGAGTTCACTCTTTTAGCAATTTTTCGTCGTCATCACCGGGTCTGGCTGAGCGGTATTTTCCCTTCAGTGTCAACAGCACATACCTGGACAGTCGTGTGGTCCACCGTGCTGACCTCTGCCTCAACTCTGGGTTTCTACCCCCGCACACGGTACACCGTCTCTATGGTCTACACCGCCACATGATTGTACAAAACAGAGTTCTGACAAGACTATGATATGCTTTGTAGACTGACTGATATGTCGTGTAGACTGTGGTCTGTTGTGTAGACTGTGATCTGTTGTGTAGACTGTGATCTGTTGTGTAGACTGGGATCTGTTGTGTAGACTGTGGTCGGTTGTGTAGACTATGATCTGTTGTGTAGACTGTGATCTGTTATGTAGACTGTGGTCTGTTGTGTAGACTGTAATATGTGATTTGTTGTGTAGACTGTGATTTGTTGTGTAGACTGTGGTCTGTTATATAGACTGACTGTTATCTGTTGTGTAGACTGTGATTTGTTGTGTAGACTGTGATCTGTTGTGTAGACTGTGATCTGTTGTGTAGGCTGTGCTCTGTTGTGTAGACTGTGATATGTTGTGTAGACTGTGGTCTGTTGTGTAGACTGTGGTCTGTTGTGTAGACTGTGGTCTGTTATATAGACTGATTGTGGTTTGTTGTGTAGACTGTGGTCTGCTGTGTAGACTGTGATTTATTGTATAGACTGTGGTCTGTTGTGTAGACTGTGGTCTGTTGTGTAGACTGTGGTCTGTTATATAGACTGACTGTGGTCTGTTGTGTAGACTGTGGTATGTTGTGTAGACTGTGATGTATTTTGAAGACTGACAGTGATTTGTTGTGTAGACTACGATCTGTTGAGTAGACAGTGGCCTGTTCTGTACACTGTGGTCTGTTGTGTAGACTGTAATATGTTGTGTAGACTGTGGTCTGTTGTGTAGACTGTGGTCTGTTGTGTAGACTGTTGTCTGTTGTGTAGACTGTTGTCTGCTATAAAGACTGTGATCTGTTGTGTAGATTGTTGTCTGTTGTGTAGACTGTGATCTACTGTGTAGACTGTGATCTGTCGTGTAGACTGTGGTCAGTTATATAGACTGACTGTGATCTGTTGTATAGACTGATCTGCTGTGTAGACTGTGATTTACTGTATACACTGTGATTTGTTGTGACTGACTATCATCTACTGTGTAGACTGACTATCGTCTGTTGTGTAGACTGACTGTCATCTGCTGTGTAGACTGACTATCGTCTGTTGTGTAGACTGACTGTCATCTGCTGTATAGACTGACTGTCATCTGCTGTATAGACTGACTGTCATCTGCTGTGTAGCGTGACTGTCATCTGCTATGTAGCGTGACTGTCATCTGCTGTGTAGCGTGACTGTCATCTGCTGTGTAGCGTGACTGTCATCTGCTGTGTAGCGTGACTGTCATCTGCTGTGTAGCGTGACTGTCATCTGCTGTGTAGACTGACTGTCATCTGCTGTATAGACTGACTGTCATCTGCTGTGTAGCGTGACTGTCATCTGCTGTATAGACTGACTGTCATCTGCTGTATAGACTGACTGTCATCTGCTGTGTAGCGTGACTGTCATCTGCTGTATAGACTGACTGTCATCTGCTGTATAGACTGACTGTCATCTGCTGTATAGACTGACTGTCATCTGCTGTGTAGCGTGACTGTCATCTGCTGTATAGACTGACTGTCATCTGCTGTGTAGCGTGACTGTCATCTGCTGTATAGACTGACTGTCATCTGCTGTATAGACTGACTGTCATCTGCTGTATAGACTGACTGTCATCTGCCGTATAGACTGACTGTCATCTGCTGGATAGACTGACTGTCATCTGCTGTATAGACTGACTGTCATCTGCTGTGTAGCGTGACTGTCATCTGCTGTGTAGCGTGACTGTCATCTGCTGTGTAGCGCGACTGTCATCTGCTGTGTAGCGTGACTGTCATCTGCTGTGTAGCGTGACTGTCATCTGCTGTGTAGCGTGACTGTCATCTGCTGTGTAGCGTGACTGTCATTTGCTGAGTAGAGTGACTGTCATCTGTTGTGGCGAGCGACTGTCATCTGCTGTGCAGAGTGGGTCATCTGCTGTGTAGACTGACTATCATCTATTGTGTGGACTGACTATCATCTGTGGTGTAGAGTGACTATCATCTGTTGTGTAGAGTGACTATCATCTGTTGTGTAGAGTGACTATCATCTGTTGTGTAGAGTGACTATCATCTGCTGTGTAGAGTGACTATCATCTGTTGTGTAGAGTGACTGTCATCTGCTGTGTAGACTGACTATCATCTGTTGTGTAGACTGACTGTCATCTGTTGTGTAGACTGACTGTCATCTGTTGTGTAGTGTGACTATCATCTGCTGTGTAGACTGACTGTCATATGTTGTGTGGAGTAACTGTCATATGTTGTGTAGACTGACTGTCATCTGCTGTGTAGACTGACTGTCATCTGTTGTGTAGAGTGACTATCATGTGTTGGGTAGACCGACTATCATGTGTTGGGTAGACCGACTATCGTCTGTTGTGTAGAGTGACTATCATCTGTGGCGTAGAGTGACTATCATCTGTTGTGTAGAGTGACTATCATCTGTGGCGTAGAGTGACTATCATCTGTGGCGTAGAGTGACTATCATCTGTTGTGTAGAGTGACTATCATCTGTGGCGTAGAGTGACTATAATCTGTGGTGTAGAGTGACTATCATCTGTGGTGTAGAGTGACTATCATCTGTGGTGTAGAGTGACTATCATCTGTTGTGTAGAGTGACTATCGTCTGTTGTGTAGAGTGACTATCATCTGTTGTGTAGAGTGACTATCATCTGTTGTGTAGAGTGACTATCATCTGTGGCGTAGAGTGACTATCATCTGTGGTGTAGAGTGACTATCATCTGTGGCGTAGAGTGACTATCATCTGTGGCGTAGAGTGACTATCATCTGTTGTGTAGAGTGACTATCATCTGTTGTGTAGAGTGACTATCATCTGTTGTGTAGAGTGACTATCATCTGTTGTGTAGAGTGACTATCATCTGTGGCGTAGAGTGACTATCATCTGTGGCGTAGAGTGACTATCATCTGTTGTGTAGAGTGACTATCATCTGTTGTGTAGAGTGACTATCATCTGTGGTGTTGAGTGACTATCATCTGTGGTGTAGAGTGACTATCATCTGTGGTGTAGAGTGACTATCATCTGTGGCGTAGAGTGACTATCATCTGTGGCGTAGAGTGACTATCATCTGTTGTGTAGAGTGACTATCATCTGTTGTGTAGAGTGACAATCGTCTGTTATGTAGAGAGACTTTCATCAGCTGTGTAGACTGACTGTCATCTGTTGTGTAGACTGACTATCGTCTGTTGTGTAGAGTGACTATCATCTGTGGCGTAGAGTGACTATCATCTGTTGTGTAGAGTGACTATCATCTGTTGTGTAGAGTGACTATCATCTGTGGCTTAGAGTGACTATCATCTGTTGTGTAGAGTGACTATCATCTGTTGTGTAGAGTGACTATCATCTGTTGTGTAGAGTGACTATCATCTGTTGTGTAGAGTGACTATCATCTGTTGTGTAGAGTGACTATCATCTGTTGTGTGTAGAGTGACTATCATCTGTTGTGTAGAGTGACTATCATCTGTTGTGTAGAGTGACTATCATCTGTTGTGTAGAGTGACTATCATCTGTTGTGTAGAGTGACTATCATCTGTTGTGTAGAGTGACTATCATCTGTTGTGTAGAGTGACTATCATCTGTGGCGTAGAGTGACTATCATCTGTTGTGTAGACTGACTGTCAACTGCTGTGTAGACTGACTGTCGTGTGTTGTGTGAACTGACTGTCATCTGTTGTGTGGACTGACTGTCATCAGTTGTGTAGACTGCCATCTGTTGTATAGACTAACTGTCGTATGTTGTGTGGACTGACTGTCATCAGTTGTGTAGACTGTCATCTGTTGTGTGGACTAACTGTCATCTGTTGTGCGGACTGACTGTCATCTGCTGTGTAGACTATCATCTGCTGTGTAGACAAACTTACATCTGTTGTGTAGACTAACTATCATCTGTTCCGTAGACTGACAATATAACTCCTCTAGCTAACCTGTGCTTTTCACACACTTGTTTGCATATCATGGACAAGCAAACCTGTGCCTTATACACAAACCTGTTTGTATTTCCCAGGCGCAGCCCGAGACGACAACGCCCCTAAACTGTGACAACATTCCGTGTGCGCTCATCTTCGAACCAGTGTGTGGCTCAGACGGGGAGACCTATAGCAACGCGTGCGTTCTTGGGGCAGAGAACTGCAAGAGAGGTCCTGATGACAAAATCTTTATTGAGCATTCGGGCTTTTGTTCTTCATGCGCCTCTAAGACGATGTCAACAGTTCGTAACATATTTTTTATGTACTGTGTCCATCTGACAGCAAGTGATATATGAGACATTACTTATACTGTCTACTTGCTCTACTGTATATGACGTTTGTATGAGACGTTTGACATATTGTCTTGCTGCTCTACTATGTATGACGTATGAAACAGTAGTTATACTCTTGCTCTACTATTTATGACGTATGAAACAGTAGTTATACTCTTGCTCTACTATACATGTCTATATTGTCTTGTTGCTCTACTATGTATGACGTATGAAACAGTAGTTATACTCTTGCTCTACTATACATGTCTATACTGTCTTGTTGCTATATCATCAGATGGGATATGTCATAAGGAAGTTAATTGTCGAACAGCTCAATGAAAGGCAGCATTTCACAAAATGCAGCGTTTTGTATGCAATCTTTCTTTGTCAGTTGAGTCGAGAAAAAGAATTTCTTAAAAGCTAAATAAATCCTATATTGGTATATGCAAGTGAATCAAGGACATTTAGTAAATTAGCGAAAAATTATTTGGAAGCTGCGGAGATGTGATTTTATGGATAAATAATGAAAATACCCTGCACACACACACACACACACACACACACACACACACACACACACACACACACAAAGAGTAAACAAGTTGTCTTGAAAAAAAAAACTGACTCGCAATCAATTGCCCACATAACAAAGAGACAATCTAAATTCTTTGGTCGTGTGATAAGAAGGATAAAACTGGAGTACATCGTGACAGTATGAAAGTTGGAGGGAAGGAGGAGCAGAGGGAGACCCAGAGTACGTGATCATGACAATCTGGTGAGTGATAGCGAACACCGACGAGAGTATATGCCCCATACTCGCCGATCAGAGGAAAGGCAACACGGACATACAGACTGCTGCTGGATCTATTGGTACATGATGAAATTTTTTGTTTCCCGAGTCAGCCGGAGACGACGACAACAGTGAGTCCTTTTAGCACTTGACTCTTGACTATAATGTTGCGAGCCGTTTTAGCTAAGCTTTAATGCTTTTTTTGTTTTTTGTTTTGTTTAATTTCTTTGAGTTATTATAATTATGTCGTATTGGCCACTCTCTTGGTTTGTATGTTGTAACGTGGGATATGTTCACACGGGGATTTCCTGATTAAGAAGGTAGGGGGACAACTCGAGGCTGAGAGAAGCGAAACACTCGGAGAAAACGATGTTCTCAAGGAGGGGAGATGACCACGTATTGCCAAGTTGTGCCCAACATTTTTCTTCAAGGTCAGACCACGTTCTGATTAGACAGTATGTCCGAGTGAGAGCACGTGTTTGTGATTCCGTATGAATGTAAAGAATACCTGACGATGAGAGAGAATACTTCAAGATGACAGCTGGAATATAATCTTCATCAAAGAAACAGCTACGCAGGTAATCAGCAGCTACTCAGAGTCAGCAACGAGAGACCACGAGGGAAACGACATAAGTCACCTGTCCAGAGATGTGGCGTGAAAGATGGAACACTGCCTCGTGCTTGTGTGTCAATGCTCGGAGTGTGACGTCTGAATACGAGTGCGATTGAATGTTGGACTTATAAACATCGTTATCATGCAGATGTATCTTTGCTTATAACATCAGTGTCAACGTACATTGTTGGTTACACCATCTGTTGGAGGACACCAATAGACAACATCCTAGAACACGAGAAAG